CCCTTTTTGTGCATATCAAAAGGTAAGGAGTAACACCGTTTCATGTGGCAATGTTGAAGTTAGTTTACGCAGGTGAAACAAAGCAACAATACGGAAGGAAGAAGAAAGGGAAAATGTGTTACATATTATAAGAATAGGCATTGTATGAATTAACTCAGATGATCATTGTGTACTATATATGTTACACACATAGGATGTAACACAATTAATTATGCGCTATATATATAGAATCAGAGAAGGACGCATCCTTTTTTTTTTTTTGTCAAATGCTTCGTCTTTCCATCATGTCTATGGATCAAATGATTACAGAAACAAAACACAACTATATATGCACGGAACATTCCTGTTTGGGAAAATGTACACCATATTATAATGTAGAAAATGGAACTGTAAAGGTAAATGCTATAAAAAATCATAAGCCATATCATACAAAATGTATACAATATCAGTATGAGGGTCAAACTAAGAAAATATGTACAAGAATACTGTAACATTGAAGTTGCCTGCCTGAAAGTGGCATACAGCAAGTTACTTCTGATGGTTCTGGTATTTCGGCTTTCTCCGGTCCCACTCGTATCTCATCTTCTTCTGCTGAAATTTTGTCATTCAAAACTTTCTTCGGCACTTTTGCCTTCGCTTTCGGTATTTGCACCGGAATAGCCCAAGTGAGCACATACTGAGTATACCCATTCCAGCTACAGCGGACACTATGGCTATCCCAAGTGCACCCCAAAGCTTAGCATTAAGTACAGAGTTAGTAGCAGTAGCTACAAACGTAAATATACTAGAAGGGATAACCGAAATTAGTCCCATAGATGCAAACACCAGCATACAGCCAACAGCAACGATTATTATACAATAAATGACAATAGCCACAACGAAGAACTTGCAGTACCTATATATAATATATTTAGCCAATTTCCGTCTACTAAAGCCTCTTCCGGTTTTGATGTTAACTGCTTCATTCTGCCTTCCATTCTTTGTTCTTCCGGTGCTTGCGCTCCTTCCTGTAAATTAGGCGTGTGGAATAGGATTCGATGAACATTCTATCTCCCGAACGAGGCGTTTGTTTTTGAGGCGGAAAAAGCTGCACATACAACTTTCGCGAAAAATTGTATTTCCTCGCCTCGTGTTTGCGCATATCCGTTTTGCCTGTACCCGATGATCCTGTGGGGGCCTGTTTCGTTTTTGCACTTTCTTTTTTATTTTGTGCCTTATTTTGTAGGGATGGCGGCAATGATGCTTGTGCACCAACCTTCGAAAGCGATGTGCTAGACTTGTCAATTGACTCGGCGACTGCTACATCGGCAGATAATGCGTCGCCGTTATGGACTTCTTCTCCCCTTGCATCATGTTCTATTTTCCACTTTCTTTCATAATGCACTTGTTGTGGTACCTCGTACTCCACTATTTTCCATTCTTTTAGAATAGTTCCTGCTCCGTCTCTATAACATCGTTTTTTTGGTGTCGTCCATTGGTTGCGAGAATATATTCGTTTTGGGGGGGATTGATAGGTTGGTGCATACGGTTCGTCGACATCGTCGTAGGCACCGTCATAGTGTTCGAATGCCATCGGATCTAATTCAAGCCCATTTTCTGATGCAATTGCTTTAATTTTTGCTAAACTGCGGGGAACTCTGTTATGTACGCGTAATTTGGCCACATGTTCTTCCTGTGTTTCGAAGTCATCTGGATGCTGTAGAAAGGGGAAGCGCAGAGGAGTGGTGATGAGTTGTATTAATAAAGGAATGGCAATGGAGAAAGGAACAAAAAGGGGAAGTAAGAACCGGAACGGAAAAAATATACATATAAATATTCGGGCATATTGCGTACGCCATATATGTAGCCGAACGCGAAACATTCCAGCCTACATCTATATGTGATCATGTAATCTTTCATACTGGGCTTACCGTTAAGCAGATCCAAGCAACAACAAAAAGGATTGCAAATTGTTTGAAGAAGGACCTGTGTGCCTTTTTTCCATGCGTTTCGCCTTCGTCATTACCTGCGGAATGTGCTTTTCCATTGCGGCACGGCGACCCTCCTTGTAGAACGTGGCTTGTCGATGTTTGTTTGTTGTGCGAGTGTGCCATGTTGCTGTGGATATTTATTTAAAACGGAAATGTACCGGGGTAGTGTGCTTTTCGCTTTTCTTTTTTTAATTACGCTACGCCTAGGAGTAAAATTATGCTAAAAAAAGAAAAAAAAGAAATTATAGAAATGAATGAACACAACATTTTTGCTTTCACGTCAGCATATAGCAGTATGAGAAGTGTTGTACTTCTGTTTTTTTTTTTTGTTTTCTCTGGATTGAGCTATATAGGATCCCGTTGTAATTTACTGTTCCATAAAAATTACATATACATAAGTATTTCTATTGTGCAAAATGTACAAAAGCATAAAAAGAAAAGTCAGATTACGTCAAAATAAATTTATGTTACAACCTACAAGGAAATTATGCCAAAAAAAAAAAAACAGAAAAGAAAAATATGCACAGAAGGATAAATTATTTTGAGCTTTAGAAGAGGAAACGTCATTTTAAAATTTGAACAATGTGTGCGGGGCTTGAGTTGTAGGGTTTTAGATGGAAAAATGTTTCTTTTGTAACTGAACCGTTACATATATATATAGGAGCATATGCACTACTTACGGTTTTATTGCCTTTTTATACGCTGCGCATAATACGCTGATGGATAAAAAATACTAGGTGCCTTAATAAATCCTTTTGGAATGAGAATGCGCTCAATCGCATTATTGTATAACGGAGATGCAAATAAAATTTGTTGTTGCATGTAACATTAGCGCCAAAAAAAAAAAAAGTTTATATTTTAACTTATGAAAGCTGTGTGTATGGAGGATTTTTATACGTATGTAAAAGGGGAAAAGTTGCATATTATGGTAACATAATTTTCACGTAGGTCTCCCTCCCTCCTCCCTCCCATTCAGAAGGAGCAAGAGAACAAAAAAGAAAAAAAAGAAGAGAAATACAAAACCCATATGTCTAGAATGACGAACCTTGTGTAAGAGAAAAAAAAAAAAAAAAAAAACAGGACGTAGGAAGTAACATAAGCGTAGTAACACATTATGTCATTAAACGAACCAAATGGGATGTAACTGTTATAATGTGCTACTCCCAATCATGTGCTGCCCATCCTCATTTCGCATATTCTGTAATAATGTATCCACATATAACTCCTCCTGCATACTACTCTCGAATTCACATTCTCGGGAAAAGGAGCAGGAGTCCCCTCTTCTTTAAACTGTATAGTTTCCATACAACTCCAAGGATCGGGGTCCTCTTCGTTAGGTGGACATCGATCTGTTCCGTCGGAGTCAGTGGGTGGATCCACGGTGGAGGAAACATGGTTTCCTGGTAAACCATGGTCTGAGGTAGAAACACCCAAGATATTGTTTTTCGTGTCGTCGTCCCGCATCAACTCCTGTGCAAACTCCTCCACGACAATCTGCAAATAGTCGTGTTTGACGTTTTCCCATTCGGTTGCTTCACATTCGTGGAGCACTTCTAAATGTAGCTCGATGATGGTGCGGCGATTCACGCGCGGGGGGCGGCGTGTACCGGATGTTGACGCAGGTTGCCTATCCCTAACGATGGTGTAACCGTAATCGGGTGGCGGCAGTTCGCCGCGTTGTAGATGCTGCAATATTTCTTCGTCGAGTGGCGGTGACGGGACGTCACGCACGGTGCGATATGTGCGTCGTCGGTTTTTTCCGAGGTGCGCAAAGTACTAAGCAGAAAAAGGGGGTAAAGAGGAGGGTGAGGACGGTAGGATAACAGGAATGAACACGGGTGTAGGAGTATATGGATTAGAACGATCATATATTGGTGCGCGTAAGGAGTTTCTGAGGCATAAACATCCTGCACATGCAGCATGCCGTCATTGTCGTATATACTTACCTTCCAAAGGGAATAACCAAGAATGGCAACGGTGACGGAAGCGAGAAAAAACAGCACGGGAGTAGTGGCGGTAAGGACCGTGTCGGTTAGGTCAGGAATATCGATGGGCACGTCCTCCTTGCCGACTCCATCGTGGTTTAAGTCCCGTATAGCGGGTGTGGCACCGGGTCCAAAGTGTCCATCCGAGAGTTTTACGCTAGGTACGAACGGTACCTCTAATCTGAGGTCACAACTATCATGCAAAGGATTAGCAGTGCAGTCTACGTTACCGGCATGTGCGTTCCCTGCATTGTGTCCGCCCGAAGCACTCTGTGTGCCACCGGAGGTTACTGTGTCATTTGGTGTGTGTAAAACGCTCTCCAGGGCCCCAGACGTACAGGAGAATTCGGATGAAGTGCAGCTTGATGTATTATGTGCCTGACCATCGGGGTTAGTTGCGACGCCTGCGTCTGGTGCCTGTGTGTCCTTCTTGGACTTACTGTCGGCATGCGCTGCTCCTAATGGGACATCCAAATGAAAAGAGAAAATGATGAAACTAAAGCTTTGGGAGTTGGATGGCACCACGGGCCGTCGCTGATGATTGGTGGCGCCGTTTCACGGTTGACCGCTGACGGGGGAAGGGGCAAGTGGCCACTCCGGGAAAAGACTCTCTGTCGCACCCACACAACACTCACACACAGTGCGTTTGTCGATGTCTGCGTCGACGTCTCTACGTCACCCGCGGCCGAACGCTGCATCCCGCGGCCGACCCATCGCTCGCACCGCTCGCTCTCGCTCATTCGACGTTGGTTTTTCGCTCCCTGTCTCTCTCCCGCTCTCTGCGGAAATTGTGTGTGTGTGTTTTTTTTGCTCGCTTTGTTGTTGTTGTCGATATTCACTCAAGACACTACCTGGTCCCGAGTCTTGGGGCGTCGTGTCACATTCATCACCAGTTCCGGAACTCGTTCCAAAGTAGACAAGCGTCTCTGACGAAGAATCAGGGAGGCCGCTGCCTGCATTCTTGGTCACGGAAACTGTAGGTGTACTTTGACACTTATGTGCTTGGTCTGCGTTGTTCCCCCCCTGGGTGCCCTCAGAAGCATTCCGCGGGGGTGTAGGGGATGAGATCGCGAGGGTCGAAGGGTGTCGGGGAAGGAAGGGGAGGTTGAGGTTGGTCATTAACTCCTTGACTTGTACCACCGGCAGGAGAAGAACCGGTACCCTGAGTCCCAGTTCCTCCTGTCCCCGCAGAACCTGGAGCAGATGAACCGGCGTTTTGGTCACCAGTAGAACCTGCTCCAGAGGAACCAGGTCCTGAGGATGAGGAACCTCCTCCATCCGCACCTCCCTTTCCTTCCCCACCAGAAACTCCATCCGCCAAATCGGCATCACTGAAACTGCCACTACTACCCGATTGATCGGCATTCGGGTTCGGTTTTGGTTTGGGTGGATTGAGAGGAGGGGGGTCATCATTGCCGCCATCGATGACGGCATCCTGTGCCGTCGGTGCGGGAGCCGGGTCGCTTTCCTTCCCTGGTGTACTCTGCCCGGTGTCGCCCTTAACCTTTGGTTCCGACGTTTCATGTGGAGTACTGATGGAACCACCGTTGTCAGTCGTAGTAGCCTCACCACTTTGATTATCGACAGCACCACTCACACCAGGTGTACCATGAGCCTCAGTATTCGGGACCGCAACTGTTGCCTGCAAGGGATTCCCTACTGTATGCGTTGGCTGTGGGTCCGTACTAATAGTTACTGGGGGTGCGGCTGGTGGTGGTGGTCCCGACTGTGGTGACTTTGCATCCTCTTGTTGAACCGACGTCTTCGGTGCACTTGCATCGGCTTTACCTGAGCATTCGAACAAAGGGAAGAGAAGAAAGTGATGGAAGTAAAGTTTCTCACGTGATTCGTCCCACGGTTGGTTCGTGCCGTCTTGTCACGTTTGGCGGTCCGTAAGGACCGTGATAGGATGCCACTCCGGTAAAAGACTCTCTCTCTGTCTCCCACACAACACACACAACACACAACACACACAGTGTGTTTGTCTACCTGTCGACGTCTACATCCCGCGGCGGCTCACTCTCCCCGGTCGCCCCGTCGCTCGGACGCCCCTCATTCTCATTACACCCGTTTGTGCGCTCACGGAATTGTGTTTGTGGTTATGCGCGACATGGTCCATGTACGGGGACTTAATGATAAGTAGACTCGCTGTTGCGCAATAGCGGGTAGTAAGGTAGTGTCGCTAATACCTGAACATTCAGACGAGGAAGAGGAACCACTAAAGTGAATCTCCACAGTTACACTGTTACCGTCCGTGTCTGCCTTTTTGTCAGTGCGTGTAGTAGGTCCACATGATGGTCCAGGTGTCTTACCTTCCTTTTGGTCGTTTTCAGGCTGCTTCTGAACTGGCGTCGGATCTGCGCTTGTTTTTTTTTCTACTGATACTTCGGGCGGTACCTGCCCGCCTGTTCCTCCTGGGGCCGGTCGTTGCTTTGGTGCCGCTGGTACCTTAGGTGTTGAAGCTTCTGGTTTCTGGCCTACAAGACCAACGGAAGAAAGATGGATGAAAAGATTATAAAAAAAAACAAGGACACACGTGGTACAGAAAGACAGGACGGCACGCTGTGGTGTGGTACGGTCGGGTCGACTCGGTGGACTGCGCACTCGGTGAACTTGGGCTAGATGGTAGCAGTACACGTATTTGTTGTCGCCGTCATCTCGGCCCTCGTCGTCTCTGCACGGTACGCTCATCTACACTCGTCTACACTCACGTCGCCGCGACCGCTACAGTCGTGGCTGTTGTGCTGTTCCGCCGTGCATAGTTCCCGCGTGCGTGTTGTTGTGGTATCGTTTGCGTGTGCGTGGTTGTTGGCGCCGGCATCCATATGCGGCAGTACGGATTCGTATTGGTACTAGCCCTATACGTACCGTCCGCAATTGCCGTTTTCGCGGTCTCAATTATCTCCGTTGCTGTGTTCATTATGTCATCCTTTGCTTCCTGCACTTTCTGAATTATCTTTATTACTGCTCCTGCCAGCTCCTTCTGTTTTACCTCTATCTTCTGCTGCCCTTCCGTGCTCACACTGTCTTTGATAGTGTTCCCCTCTGTTCCCTGCTCCTTAATATACTGTTCCCACTTCATATCACACGGCATTGCCTGTTCCATTGCTGTTATTTCTTCATTTATGTTTCCGTCCCCCAATAACCATTGTGCTATCGCCAAATTTATGGCTGTTATATGCCTGTGATAGCCCGTATACCCACATGGTGTACACTTGCCTTCAATAACAGGACCGTTAATTTCGCCAAATCCATGTTGTCCCTCGCTGTTCATATCCCTGAATGTTTGCCAAGCATACTCTATACCTCTCTTGTAGCCTCTCTTATCCTTACAATACCTTTCTTTCAGTAGATGTCCAAATACATGGGCCACGTCACATCTTAACCTATTGGTCTCTTCATCATCCTGCTGACTCTGCTTAGTACTGCGATCTGTCGTCTTCCACGAACCATTTGCAAACCACAACGCACCGGACATTAGTCTGCATCTCATCATATCCGCCACCGTTTGGCCCGTATGGTGTGCAGTGTGTGTCAGATCATTCCAACCTGTGTTATCACAATTGGCACCAAGTGCGTCAAAGTTATCATTATGTTCCTCCAAGTACTCCATAAACTCCTCCAACACGTTCTTCACCGGTTCCCATTCCTTATCCTGCATTTTGCACATGCAAATAAAAGAATATGCATGTCCACATGCCACGTGCACCATGGCCCGTGGTAGCATCTATACCTACACATATGCATGTCGCCGTATGAATAAATTATCGGTGCCGTCTGTTCCTCTTTCGTCCTCTTCCTTTCTGACTGTACTCAAACTTACACTATAACCATGCTCCACGTAGATTGTCCTAGGCCTCCAATCTAATATTTTCTCCCCTTGACACTTCTCCTGTGTTTCGTGCTTCTTCCCCTTCCCCTTCTCTCCTACGGCACCACCAGCATCACCACCACGTCGTGCCATGCGCCTGGACCGCGTCTGCGTTGCCATGTTCGTTGCCACGGGTGTCGCCGCTACTGGTTTGGTAGCGTTGCCGTCGCTGTCGACCGGCTTGGCTGGTACTGGTTTGGCGGCGCTGGTCT